CGGCGGAGTGGGTCTGGATATCCAAGCTTGCAATCACGTCGTTTTGATGGACCCGTGGTGGAATCCTTATGTTGAGGTTCGTTTTTTTTTATTGGATTCACTCACCTCGTGATGCTTATATATTTAGGAGCAAGCCATCTCGCGCGCCCATCGGATCGGCCAGGCGCGCGACGTGCGTGTGTATAGACTTGTGGTGGACGATTCGGTCGAAGAGTCTATCGTCAAGGTTCGTTTCTTTCAATTTCCTTTGGTGATATCCGTCATTGAATTCCGAATCCCAGACTCAGGACCGCAAGAGGGAGGAGATTGGTGGGCTTTTGAGTCTGTGTGCGATTCCGAGTGTAAAGGAGATGCGGGGTTGGGTTGGAGGTTGATTTGTACATGTATGTTCCTGCCGAACGGAGCCGAAGTCACCTGGTGATAAGATATCTCTCATCAACGCGTAAGCAGGCATCAACAATGCTCTCCTGTTTCGCTCCACCCTCATGTCTCGCTCAATCCACTGGAGAACTCAGCCCCGTCTTCCCTGACCAGCCTCTATTAGTATCAGAACTGGAACACGCATCTGCCAATCCGTGTAGTGGCCAGCGCTTACCGGCCTTCTCCGACGAACTTCTCGTAGCAGCAATACATAGCCGGCTCGTCAGCGGTCGCGCTTGAGGGAAGCCAGCTTCCTGGGATATCGATCCCGGAGTTAATCATCTCCTCAGGACCTTTCCGTGGTCAGTCTAGGTCAGTCTGTGGCTCTCACGTCGGTTACCATACTCACGTCGGTTACCATAGAGCCTTGGACGGATGGATCGTTCGATCTGCAGGTCGACGCCACATTATCACTGACAGGAGGCTCGCAGCTGTTGGCCGTCGTGTGAAATACCCCCTGAACTGTTCATGAGGAACGCAAACTCTCGTCACCCCGCCGTATTCCTATTCTTACTTACGTATTTGCTATCTCCAGTTCCATCCGAAACGTTGACATGACATCGTGCTCTACGCCACATCCAGGGTCTTAAACCGACTCAATCTCCGACACGGTGAACTCGTCTCCCTGCTACCACCATGAACTGCCAATTTGCTTTCGGCCCCAATCGCTCCTTCTTCTGCGCCGCGGGCCCCATTCGCACTTGGTTCGTGCCATGTTCCTGCTGGATTCATTCGTTCCCAAACGTTCTTTCAGGAGTGAAAACAACCTCCCCTCGGGTCTCCTCCGCGTGCTTCAAGATTCTAGGCTAGAAATCACGCATGATGTAGCGTTGCCGATGGAATCAGGATTGCATGCAGCATCCTGGAAAACGACAGGCGGACAGGACGGGTTCGACAGTGCGTTCAAGTTGCATGAGTCGGATTGATTGTGCAATGGCTAACCTCGTGCCAGACACCAACCTCGGACCGACCTATGCCCGCCTCGCCCGCTTCATTCAAACCACCTCCGGACACACGCTCCGCACTGTCTTTGGCGCCAACTCGTCCTATTTCTCCATCTCATCCTCCGGGTACTCGTGGCAAAATATCCCTGCCGCGCTCGAAGAGCAAATCCACAACTGCATGTCCATTCGGAGGCCCACCTGTGTCGCGTTGGGTGTGCAAGGGTCGTACATCGCACTGTTCAATGACGGTACCGTCAGTTTTGATTTGCGGGGCGGATATCCGCTGGTTGACGGGATGATACGCAATGCGGTTGAGGCGGCCAGGAGGGGCGGGATCATGGTACGCTCTTCCTTTCGTTCATATGCCTTTATTTGTTTAACGGTTTGGGAACAGTACATTGCGCTGAATCCCTTCGTCCCCGGGGAGTATTATGGCGTCTTTGGAGACGGCTCAGCGTCGTGGAACTTTCCCACAGCGTGGAGCGAGAACGTTACTTTCGTCAGTAGGCATATTCGGCGCGCTGCGACGGAGCCATCCGGGACTCAATCTTCCCCTGGTGGGTTGGATGCGGCGTCTCCGGGTGGAACTGCCCCCGTCGCAGATGTTCTGCCTGACCGTAACTCTGTATCTCAACTGCCCACTCCGAGTACTAGTCCAGTCGTTGCACCCAGATCGGTCAGCATCCCAACGGCATCTAGCCCCACGATTGCGCATACGTCGCCCCCCTTGTCCCCCTCCACGCCCACCATGGCCTCTATCAGCCCGTCGTCAGCCACCGCAGCGTCGGCACCCGCCCAACGCCCACCAGTCTCTTCAAAGAACAGCTGGCAAAAGAACCTCTCCAAGGGTCTCAAAGTAGCCAACAAAGTCGTGCGCGTCCTGCCCATCACCCTACCCGGGGCCGCGCAGGCTTCTTCCACCATCCAAAACACTCAATCGGTGTTGAATATTGGGTCTACATTGCTCAACACGGCGAATGCGGGCCAGGTGCAGGGCCAAGATACCACGACGACTATGCTCAACATGGGTGCGGCTTTGTTCAATGCGGGTGCTCGGAATTCCGCGAGTGGGACGCTCAACGCGGGCGCTGCCTTGTTGAACCAGGTGAATGTGGATCAACAGGGTGGTGTCACGGGTACCACTCAGGCGATAGTGGATTTGTTCAATCAAAATCAGACTCCGGGTGATATGCAGACGGACACTCAAGTGGTCAATACGGCGCAGGCGGTTCTCAATTTTGGGGCGGCGGTGTTGGATCAGGTGGGCGATAAAAAGGGTGGGAAGGAGGATAAGCTGGCGGTTGGTGGGAGTCAACCCGTGGTCGGCGTCGTCGAATCGGTCACAGTGGGTGTAAGCGATCCTGGACAACAGCCTCAGGTCGTTGTTCAGGAGACGGTGTACAGTGTTGGGACTGGTGGGGTGACGGATGTTGAGGGTACGCAGGTTACGGTTCAGGTCGATAACTAGTACAGTATACACAAACGTGTCCATCAATTCCAAATACTTCGTCCTCAATGAATTCAAGCATCCTCGGGTCCCTTGGGCGCCTCCTTCGCCGGCGGCTCACTTCCAGCATCGACCCTCCCCTCCCGGGCGCGTTGGAGATTGGCGAATATCGTTGGCAGGATGAGCGTCTACAACCAGTGTTAAGTTTTCAAGGAGAAAGAATATGCGGAATCCAAAACGCACCCTAACGACCGACCCGATCTCATCCTTGAATGGAATCTGCTCCACAGGCAGGTCAGGCATGATAAACGGCCATGTCGTGCCCCATTCGAAGATGAGGAGGAGGACGCCAAAATATTGACGGCTGTATGTTCTTTGCATTCAGCTGGGTGGAGAAAGAAGACGCGGCGCACGCACCCTTTGGTGAACTTTTCCTGCCAACTCGTGTCGTCCGAGGATCTGGTTGGCATTATTATCAAATGTTGGGGTGAGAACCTTGAGCTCAGACGCACGCAAAGAACTATATATGAGTCGGCGAGAGGTCATCTTTGAGCGCTCTGAATAAGACGAACCTGGTTGATATCCACATCCTCGACCCAATCTAAATTTCCTCAATTACTTCAAGCCGTGCATTTAAACTGAGGCACGCACCCATCCTAGAGAACTGCCCCCAGTCTCGTCCCCAGCGCGTCCGGGACATGTTTGTAATCGTTATAGGAAGGTTGGTGTCGGTGGGGACCCATGCGGTGCCTGTTGGGTAACTGCGAACGAATTGTGGAAACGAGGGTAGATATGCAGGAGGGGAAACCCACCTGAATACGGCGTGCAGCGCATAAGCTGCATATTTCGATGTCTTCTCGTCGAGGCCGAGGACCATGAGGCCCTTTGGTCGTGTCGCCGATGCTGACTTTACCATCGCCATCGGGATCGAAGAACGTTGGTGCCTGCGAGTTTGATTTCAACCGGAGGCATGAACTGATGAGTAAGGGCCGCACTTTGCCGCTCATATTTAACGCCTCAAGTCACCAGTAGTCGGAACGGCCCTCGAGATATAACTAGCACTCACCTGCATCGTCCAACTTCCGACCTGCTGTACCGCCGAAACAAGCAATCCATTGATCTTCTGCATTCCCTGTACAGCGCCGAGCTCGCCGAATCCTTCGATGGCTTTGAGCCCACTGCCCACGGGCTCGAGCACCTTGCCGCTCGTCTCAGCAGCCGTGTTGACTATACCGCCGAGAGCTGACAGAAAAGGTGCAGTGAGCAGTGATAGAAGTTCAAAAGAAAAGAGAGACGCACCTGTACCAGCGAGATCCGCGGTCCCACCGACGACGCCAACACCGAAATCAAGCCCCGATTTCGGCGACAGCTCTGGCTTATGGAGGCACCCGCACGGGCTGCATCGGAAGCGAGCTTGGCGCCGTCCATCGCGAGGTCCGCCTGTTGCGGTGATTCCGGTGTGTGCCGGTTTTGAGGGAGGAGGTGAGGCCGGTTTGGGCGGCGTTGGAGACGGATGTGCCTGCGTTGGAGATTCCGGATAGGAGTCCGCCTCCGGATGTGGGCTTCTGAGATTCTTCGGCTGGAGTCGACTCCGAGCCGTCGGTTGGAGGTGGCACAGGGGCAGTACTCTCCTGCTCTTGCGCCTGCTGCTTTTGCTGCGGCGCCAAGGTGTTTTGAACCCCTTTCCCGACGCTGCCCAGGGTGTTTGTGACAAAGGCCATGGGTGTATCTGTACGCAGAGTAGGTGGGCGAGGACGTGGTTATATGGCGATGCGTGCGTGCCACCGATACGAGCATGTCATCATCGATGGAGCCAGTGGAGTTCCATGACGTGCAGGGTATGCATAAATACGGTGGCTCGTGGAGTTCGGTGAAGGAGGTCCTCGTGAGATCCATATGTAAACAGAGAGCGCGATTGCAACTGCAAAAGCTTATAGCGGGCGTCGATGAGTAAGTATCCGAGTCATCAGTGGACGAAGTGCCAGCTTTGAGCCAGAGTTGAGGACGGATTCAGACGTCCCGCTTGACTGAAGACGGGGCAGTACAATGGCCCGCAAGAAAGAGTCTCGGATTGAGGCGTGCAACGTGGCAAGAGCAGAGGATGTGGCCGTGGGAATAAATTGGTCAGATCGTGATCAGTGCAGGGATGGACATGTAAGGGTGTACCTACAAACCCTCCGTGTGTCGTCTCCGGTGTGGTGTATCGGTAACATATCCGCCTCTCATATTGCCTGGTCAGGTGTGTGACGCGGTTGCGCGGGGTTCGATTCCCCGCACCGGAAGAGCTTTTTGCTTTCTTCGCTCATCTTTCCTGATGAAATCCGTCCACAATACATCCTACTCACAACGCAAACAAGGATTGAGCAACTAGCAGGACTTTCCGTGGTGCAAGATCACCCCTTGTACTACGACCACCCTCCCATTCTGGTCCGGGTTCGATTCCACCGGGGTCATTCATCTTCCAAACCTTTCATTTCTAACAGATCTAGTAAGTAAGCCTCGCAGACTTGTACAGAAATTTTGCTCGGCATTCATAGATATGCTGGGCAAGTGGTTCCCCGCTTATGTCTTCGCACGCCTACTGCGGCCATGATTGAATTTCCCGAGCCTATGCCTCATATCGGTCGCGAGCTCCCACCGTTTGCTTTTCTCCCAAGAGATCCATGGCCATTTTTGAACATGATTTCTACATCAGTCCGATTCTTCCCACATCGGGTTAAAGTTTCAACCTAGCTGAAGGGACTATAATCGGTGTGCCTCCCGCCATGGACACCGCAGTCTGTTACCAACAGCTTCCTTGATGTTCAGGACTCCTGTCGTCGAGCGCTGAGCGCTGAAGCGGAGCGCGTGTGCGTATTGGAGTTTGGAGCTTGTTAATTTTGGCCAACACTGGTTGCTCCACGGGAATTCCTGGCTGGGTGGCCCGTTTTCCCTTTGAACTCTACCCAGCGGACAGAAGCCATCGACGCAGTGTCATTCGAACTGAAACCCACCCCATCTTGCCTGGACCAGTTTCTTTTTATCCGATATATCCAGCGCTGAGTCTCCCTATTATTATACAATCCTAAGATGCTCCGTTTTCCGCCTTTTCATCTATCATCTTCTCAGATACTCCATTCTATCCTGCTTCACATATAAGACACCGAAATCGGCACCGATGGTCTTCCAGTTCAAGCATGGCGGTTGATCCCACGTACCCGCTTTACCCCACTCTCTGCATCGTCTCCGCATTCTTCATGTTCCTGCTCCTCACCCACAGCTTCATCCGCCGGACGTGGAACCTTGCCGTGACTCTCCTCTGCATCGGGCTATTCCTCGATAATTTGACGCATGGAATCAATGCCGTGGTATGGCGTGACAATGCGGATATCAAGGTGCCTGTGTATTGCGATATTGGTGAGTGACCCGTGCTTCGTGGTTTCACTACTGAAATGCTACTAGTGTCGCGCCTCCAGTTCTTTATGAACTTCCTTCCGTCCATCACCTCGCTTTTGATCACACGCAAGTTGTACATGATTTCAACCATGCGCGATGTCAAATTGACAAGTCGGAAATCGGTGTGTCGGGACTCGATTCCTTTCTGGCTGTTGCTGAACTCACGACAGAGGTTACTGGATCTCTGGATCGAATGGGGCTGGGGACTTGGATATCCCGTTTTCATGACTGCTGTCGTTTGTAAGCGGTTCATCTTCTCTCTCGTTGTGTTTGTATTGATTGCGTGCCAGATACGCTCTGTCAGGACTCGCGTTTTGTCGTTTTGCAGGGCTTCGGCTGTGCCTCGAGCACCTCGGACTCGTGGTTCAGTGTCGTCGTCATCTCGATTCTCCCGGTCATCCCACCCCTCATTTCAATCTTCTTTTATTTCCGTGCGTTCCTCCTTTCACCAATCCACCGTAATTGCTCTTGACTCCCAACCTCAGCTCTGATCATCCGCACCATCTACCGACAACGTCGAAATCTCAACTCCCTCCTCCAAAGCACCGGTTCCATGTCCCGCTCCTCCTTCCTCCGAATCCTCGCTCTCGGCTGTCTCGACATCGCCATTACCCTCCCCATCTCGCTCATCAACCTCGTCTCATTCTTCGTTACATTGTCGGGGACAGACTCGCTCCCGGCGTATGTTGGCTGGGCCACCAATCACGCTGATTTCGCGCCGGTTGGCGTTCCGTATGAAGATATCACGGATACCCCATGGGATTCGTTTACAACTTATTTTGACTATGGGCAATATGCCGTGTTGGCGGTGGCGATCTTTGCGTTGTTTGGTACGACGGCGAGTGCGAGGAAGGCCTATTGGCAGAGTATTACAGCTCTGGGGAAGATTGTGGGATCTAAATCCCAGACTGGGCCAACCACCACCACAGAGGGACAAAAGACGCGGAGTGGGCTTGCTGATTCGCTCGTTTTCGCTGCGCCTCAGCGTAGTACTACGGGTGCCAATCGGACGGTTGATTTGCCACAGCGGTGGGTGTTGAATTCGATCGACATAATTGGGACAGCGAGGAGCTGACGACCTGAACAGAAATAGCATCGATTCAGGTTCGGCTCCGTCGGAGAAGACGCCGGATGAGTCGTCGATGCACGGCGGATCGAAGCCGGAAGTTGAAACAGTATGAAAGAGTTGCTGATACCCCTCTGACAGCAATTGTATTTACGTGTATTACCAAGTGACTTATATCGGCCGCATCAGGCCGGCCGTCTTCCCGGCAGATCTGCCAACTTTGCAGTGTTGAATCGCATATCCAGCCTTGCTTATGAATATATATATATAACATATAACCGTACAAAGCACCTCGGTTGTTGCAACGGGTTGCGCGGGTTCGATTCCCTGCACTGGCATCGGGAAGGCTTTCTAAGGCTGTTTTTTCCTGTATGAGTCCAGGGAGCACATAAGCCTAATTTAGCAGAGTTCACCACCCATTCTGCAACCCGTTGCTCAGTAGACGGTATGCTAATCGTTCGAGTGGTTGAAGATCCCGGCTCATGTACACCCGGTACAACCCACGGCACAACTTCGCAGTGTTGAATCGTGTACCCTTCCTTCCTTTCGAATAGATATAACATTCATGTGTGCTGGTAGTGAGCGTACAAATCACTTCGGTTTGCTGCTTGTGTGGGATCGACTCCCAGCACCGGAATGGTGGGTTACTATCAGGGTCTGACCGGTCGTTGGTAACTACGACAATTTGTATTTGACAAGCCGACGTGTGCTGCCACCGCTTTGACGCCGACGCCGCTGCCCGGGGTTCGATCCCTGCATCTGGTATAAGTTGGACGCCCCGGCATTTCATTTTTTTTCCAACAGTCGCAAAATCCCACCCCTGTTCCGGTAGAATTCAATCTCAAGCCACCCATCGGACAGACACCAATTTCAACCAACACATCCATAAAGCAATGTTGAATTGCGCATCTTTCTTACAACAGAACGTACACAGTAGCAATCGTATTCGTACAAAACATCCCCGCCCTCAGGCTCAAACTTTGACATTATCTCCCTTCCAAACCTGCGCTACTGGGCATCCCTGCAGCTCACCCGCCATTTTGAATACCTCCTCGTGGCCGTCTAGATTATTCGTCAATGTCAATATCAATATTCCTGTAAAGAGTATTTAGAGTGAGAGGGAACGGAACGGACCTTGGGCATATCGTAGGGGACCCTACATAATCATTCCAAGGCGTCGGTCGTCAGCATGAAATTCAGGGCGGTGAGGAGGGAAGAAGGGAGGGCAGGGAAAAGCGCAAACGCACAAGCTCGAGAATCCGATACCCATCCGAACCGTACTCCTCCCTCGGTATATCATCGTGTTTGCCGATGAGCACCAGGAGTCTGTCAGTGAGCGCCCAGAGGCCGCGGCCTTTTGGTTTGTACCACGGGCGTGAGGTCCATCTACCATTGGCCTCGTTAGGAGGGCGGAGTTTACTACGCGGAGGGGGATGAATCAAGCACGCACTTGGTGGGATATTGTCTCTTGCTGGGCTCCTTCGGCATCTCCATCGGCACGAACGTGTAGGGCCTCCAGCGCGGGAGGAGGAGGTTCTTCTCCGTGAATGCAAAGACGGCCATAAGGGCGTTGATCAGGGGCTTCGCGTAGGCCGGGGCTTCCGGTTCCCTGTGGGCGTTTTCGTGTTCAGATTCATTTTATGGAAAGAATAATAAGAAAGAAAGAAAGAATGGACGCACAGCATAGCAATCCGCACCCGATCCTCCAACACCCCACGCACCATACCCTCCGCAAAGGCGCGCAGTCCGAAAATCCTGGGAATGGGGAAGAGGAGCTCGCCTGTTGTGTGGACTGCCACGGAGTGGTTCGACTCGGCGGGGAGCATGTGCGCGGATTCGTATTCCTGGGTGCGATGAGTCAAGTGAGTTTCTAGGCAGAGCTGAGAGGCGTACCTCGATCCATGCTTTGAACGCCTCCGGACTCGAAGGGATGTCGGTGATGTTGAGCTTGCGTCCGATTTCGCACCAGTAGACGTAGCTTGCCTTTAAGGCTCTCAGCGTTTTTATCCGCTGGAGAACATGAGAAAGTTGAAACACGCACGTATTTCTCGAGCGGGGAGAGTTCGCGCCAGCCCCATTTCTTGGCCCACGTCTACATCAAGTGAGCTGCAGTATTAACGAAGAGAACAAGACGAGAGACGCACGGTAGGCTCGAACATGAACAAACCCAGTGTGTAGAGGTAATCGTCGTTGGACTGGCATCACGGTCAGAGCCAAATTCGTCAAGGGAGACAGAGCACACACGATCTTGTACTTTTGATGTAGCCAATTGACGCGGGCCAGTGCGAGCGATGCGCGGGGATCATTCTTGGCGTCGGGCCCGGCGGAGAGAGTGGACCCGGCCAACGGGCATGTCATCCAGCTCGCTGCGTGTGAGTGAGTGAGTGAATGATATGCACCGGGGAAGAAGGAAGACAGACGCACCGATCAAAATCTCGGTATCGGCATATCGCCTGGCGACAGATGCCTGCGACCCCAGCTGCTTGGTGTCCAGCAAAATCTGGGATATCGTCGGCTGCGTCAAAAGTGTGAGATGAGAGGTGGCCCCACGGAACGAAGGGTACTCACGATTCCGTACGTCTTGAAGAGCGCAAAAGCGACCGAGTACCCGGATAATGTGGGCATGTCGTACATGGCCGCCAGCTGGGCGACCTCCTGCGCCTCTGCGGGTGTGAGAGTCTTGGAGTGCAACTTGTGCATGTACTTGTTGTGGATGGCGTTGTACCGCCTCCACCGGAGCGTGCGCACGAGCAACAGGTACGCTAACACGCACAAGGCCGC